GAGGGGCGCTCGGCGTCCTGCGCGCGGGGCACTTGTGCGGAACATAATGAGGAAAAAAAAAAACCACTTGCTTCGGTGGGAATGCAGCGCTGAAGTGAGTAAATACAATAAATATGTGTGTTCCAGACAAGCTCTCTCGTGCGCAGCTGAAAAGTTGCGAGCAGCAGGTGAGCTCTGGTGCTCCGCAGTCCGGTCCCCAGCGCGGTTCCACTCTCCATAACCGGCGCGGTCGGGGCTTTCCCGGGCCCCTCGCACCTGTGCAGGACACAGAGCCCCGCTGGGCAATGGGTCGCACCTGAGGGTAATGAGAGTTAATCCTCTGGCAATGAAATGAGGGTGGGGCCTGACTTCTATGCTGTGGTTTTGCTTTCTAGATCCATAGAGGGGTTGAAAATGAAGTGCATGAACTTAACTGTAAAGCTAAAATGCAAGCGACCGGCAAAAGAGCTGCTTTGGAGGAAATAGGAAACAAAGTTTCAACACGAGGGACCCATGTAGCTAAGGTAAAGCAATGCTTAAATATCCCTTGTAAGGGAAAAGGTGAGTTGTTAGATTTATACTGATAGCTTTTGTTATCCTTACAGAAAACGGAACACTTAAAGCCACCTATAAAGCATACCAAAGGACCTAGTAAGATGACAAATTCAGTTGCGCTGCCTAAACCTCCAGCTGTTGTGAATCAAGCTTCCAAAAAAAGAGGTGTTCCAAAGGTAGGAAGTAATGATTTTGTTCTGATTCTTATTTTCATGCTGGGAACTTGGTGCTTTAATTCCACTTTTATTTAACCCCATTTCCCTGTTGAAAAAGCCTCTATACTGAGGTTTTTTGTTTGCTCTACTTAAAGGCAAGTATTGAAGTGGTAGATTTGGCTATTGAAGTACCGACTGAAAACTAGTTCTCCTTTAGCAGGCAATTACCAAAAGGGTGCTGTTTCTGTTTGGCATCCTAGTGCAAGCTTGGCCAGCTAGACAGCTGTCTTTCTGCCATCCTTGTTTTTCAATTGCTAATACAACTTATACCAGTGATCTTTTACATATTTATATTAGGAAGAAGTTGTATTAGCAATTGAAAAACAAGGATGGCAGAAAGACCCATCACGTAATCAGTAGATGGAAGCGCTCTAACCTGTTTTTTAGGTTTTATCTCCGGTTCCGATGGATGTGTCTATGCAAGAAGAGGATTTGTGCCAAGCCTTCTCTGATGTGTTGCTCAACAATGTAGAAGACATTGACGCTGAGGACCAGGAGAACCCCCAGCTTTGTAGTGACTATGTAAAGGATATTTATCTTTACCTGAGGCAGCTCGAGGTACGGATCCCGCGTGCTGGCTGCGTGCCCCTGCAGGCAGCGTTGCTGTGGTCGCTCACGCCGTTCTCTCCAACAGCTGCAGCAGTCGGTGCGGCCCCGTTACCTTGATGGGCAGACGATCAACGGGCGCATGCGCGCGATTCTGGTCGACTGGCTCGTCCAGGTGCACTCGAGGTTCCGGCTCTTGCAGGAGACGCTGTATATGTGTGTTGCGGTTATGGATCGCTTCTTGCAAGTGAGTGTCTTAAGTTTGTGTGTGTGTGTGTTTTGTTTTTTTGTTTGTTTGTTTTCCAAATACGTGTTTGGATTGGGATTCTTGCTTGATGACAGCGCTTTAAAAATAATTTAGGATTTATCTGTTCTTTATACATGAAGATTGTGCTGTGTGACTGTGTAAGAACTCTTTAACATGACGTTGAAGCTGCTGTCCTTTTCGAGCTTGTCAGGATAGGGGTCCCTCTGACTCAAAGTGAAAAGTCCTATATATACATTAAGGATGAGCTCTAGTGAACTGTTGTTATGAACTATTGAATCAGAACCTATTAATCTAGACCTTGTAATTTGAGGTCTGCTTTTGTAAACTTCTCTATTGCAGAGCCATCCGGTGCCCCGTAAGAGGCTTCAGTTGGTGGGTGTAACGGCACTGCTTCTTGCTTCCAAATATGAAGAGATTTTCTCTCCTGATGTAGCAGACATTGTTTACATTACTGACAACGCCTACACCAGTGATGAAGTTAGAGAAATGGAAAGAGCGATTCTCAGAGAGTTGAACTTTGATTTGGGGCGTCCTCTTCCACTTCACTTTCTAAGAAGAGCATCAAAAGCTGGTGAGGTGGGTACTTGTCCTCATTATCTAGAGCTTCTCCATGTAAAGATGGCCAGGAATGCTTTAGGCACTTTGATGCTGTCATCCGTTTTTATCTAGTATTTGAGCAGAAAGCAATGTTCAGCTGTAAAATTCCAGCATGTGGTGGCATGACTGTCAAGGTCACTGCAAGTGGCAGTAACTGTTCCCATGTGTCTGCTGGGGCTCGTGTTCAGGCAGCTCAGTGCAGTACAGTAAAAGAGCTGACGAGGGCAGAGTGCTGGCCTTGCCTGGAATGAGGGTATACTCCAGTGAAAGGGTCCTTCAGCAGACCCTGGGGAGTTCTTGAAGTAAATTGATCCTTAGTAAGGAACTGCTTACCTAACTTTACATGTTTCTCTGATCTCCCCTGCTTTACAGTATATTAATATTGTAGGGGAAGCATTTATATTCTGAGCCGGGCACAGAAATGCCTAGTGCAGATGTTTTCTGTTAACATCTCTTGTACAATTTGGTATGTAAGCCCTGACTTCAGGCTCAGTTTTGACTTGAGATAAGTGTCACTGGGCAGTGGCAGTATGGCCCATGTAAGGGCAGCATGCCCCTTACATGCTACCAAAGCTCTTGTTGACTATTCTTGTTTTGCCAAGTTACCTGTCTGTTGACAGCCAGCATAAACAATCCTGGATCAACTGGATCAAGTGAAGTAGAATTCTGTGGATTAACAAACTCTTGATCCGTTAGGCTGATGCTGAACAACACACACTAGCCAAATACCTAATGGAGCTGACTCTAGTGGATTATGACATGGTGCAGTATCATCCTTCAGAGATCGCAGCTGCTGCATTATGCTTGTCACAAAAGATTCTGGGACATAACAAATGGGTAAGGACTTTTTTTTTTTTTTTTTTTTTTTCCTTTTTCCCCTCCTCCACTTAGTTGACCTGAGCTGTTTAAACAACTGCTGGAACTGACTGTTTAGAGCAGCAACGATGCTGGTGATCAGATGACAGTTGAATGCTGCTGGAGGCAGAATAAGGAGTATGCTATAAAAACAAATTACCTTATCTCTCTTAATGTGAATAAAAGGATTTTGTTTTCTTTTCTATTAAAGTACTGAGTTATCAGAGAGGTATAATCTGCTCTTTCTGCAGACTGCAGTACAAGGTAGAAAAATTAAATCATGGACTGTGAATAGTAAATTGTAATTAAATTAGTGGCTATCCGTTCAGTTGCTGCACAGTGCAGAAGTGTGTTTTCTTAGCTTGATGTGTTTGTCCAGAGTTGTCCCCACAGGCTAGAAACTCTTCTGGATCTGTCTCCTGAGGGGTTGGGGTGTCAGCTACCTGAGGTGACTGTGCCTGGAGCAGAAACTTTGGTTCTTTAAGAGACTCAAGGTTTTTGCTGTTACATTACAGAGCACAAAGCAGCAGTACTATACTGGCTATACAGAAGACAGTCTTATGATGACTATGAAACACATGGCCAAGAATGTTGTCAAAGTGAATGAGAATTTAACAAAATACACTGTAAGTACATCAGCTCAAATTGTTTCTAATGTGTTAGTAGTACTTCTGTTTTTTATATTATCAATGTATGTGATGCTCTAACAGGCTTGTGAGGGGCTGCTGCATCTGTTTGTTCAAAACTTCCCCAAGTTTGTGCTCTAGTCTTGCTACTCTGCATGCTGGTTCACTTCTGACCGTAGTCTTATTCAATCAGTAGGCACAGCTGGCTCAAAACTGATCTGACTTAAATGTCTGTGTAAGTATAGACAAGTCCTCTATAACACTGTAATTCCTCTACTTCTGCAGGCTATAAAGAGCAAGTATGCAAGTAGCAAACTCCTGATGATCAGCACAGTCCCTCAACTGAACTGCAAGATGATCAAGGACCTAGCTTCATCACTCCTATGATAGCTCGGTGCAGGCGAGTCCTCATGATTCGTGTCCTTTGTCCTCAGTTGCCTCTTAAGGCAAACATGCTGCTCTTTGTATGTAGCCTTTCAGCCTCACCACAGACACTTCAAACTTTCTCTGAAAGTGACCTTTTAAACTTGCCTTGTAATGCTATGCTGTACCTAGAAATAAAGTTCCTTTTAAAAAAAAAAAAAAAGAAAAAGAAAAAAAGAGGAAAAAAAAAGTCTATTTACAGTTTCTTTAAAGAAACTTTTACCCCTCAGACTACATTCAAACCCACCAAAAGTAGATTCGTCTATACTGATTTCCAGAATTTTGTTTTCCTTTCTGTTTTTGTTTCAAATGAATGTAGGTATCTGTATGCTCAAAGGAATGGAAGTAATAGAAGAAGCCTCAGTATTTCATGTAAGCCTACTCAGTGCTTAGTACTGCACAGTCAGTATTCAACTGCAAACTCTTAAGTGAATCTTCCATTAGTTACGCTGAGTTCAATGTTTCCCTTTTTCCCAGTGTTTCCCCTTGTGCAGATGTGTAGGCCCTGATATACAAGGGAGAAGTCAATGCCTTCCTACAGAAGAATTTGAAATTGCAGGCTTTTAGCCCTTCTGCAAGAGATTTTTCTCCTGGGGTATTAGTATGCTAAGAACAGCTACTGCTGATGGGTGTACAGTATTCGGAGGGAGCATATAATGCCTCCTCGACTGGGGCTCTGGTTTCTGTCTTTCAGTCCAGGTATAGTGAAGTGGCTTCTGCCATCAGTGAGCTCCTAATGGTGTCTGTGGAGTTTGTGCTTAAATTAGACTAAGGCAGTGGCTGATGAGGGAGGGAATTCAAGCTTTTTATTTGGGGGAGGCTGTGTGTTTTTTCTTTGGGGTGCCATGTGGTTGTGTGGTTTTGGGGGGAGTTTTTTCTGTGTCTTAAGACATGTCCTGGGCTTTCTTTAGCACTAATTTTTTTTTTTTTTAAAAAAACAAAACAAAAAAAACACAGAAAAATGCACTGCACGTAGCTCTTCTCCCAGATGAACTCCTATGTGTCTGGAAAGGAATTTCTTTAGAAACCTATGCAATAAGTCATTAAACGTACACTGTGAAGAGATTTGCTGCTAAATATTCCTAAAAACAAACTGCAAGGAATAGGCCAGTTCTGCTAACTGTTTCTTCTTGTGTTTTATTTTATGGAGGTTGAGAAGACAAAGCATGAATGCTGATATCTGTATGGTGAGCGACAGCCATTTTGAGTTGGTGTGGGAGGCAATCAGACTTGAGCAATAACACTTTTTACCATTTAAAAGGAGTAGTGCATATCTGTAAGTACCTGGCACAAAAATTCTAGTAAAACTACATTATGCATAAGAACAGTGGACTACTACATTATACATTCATACATGTTTCTACCATATTCAGGTTTCTATATACAGTATATGATCTGTTTCTATAAATGTACAGCTCTGAATAAGGATACTTAGGTAGAACATTAAACATAATCCAACATGGGCCAGCCATATTCTAATATAACTCTAGCAGAAGGCATCATTGTTTAGTGTACAGTACTGCATTGTATTTTCTTTACAGTGCCTGTTGGAGTCCCTACATACATCAGCAAACACAAGTCGGTTCCATTACACCTCTGTACAGAATTCTTTTTTTAAATATACCATCACAGTAGATATTTAGATGATAATATCCCAAGTGATTATAAATCTTTTTAACATGTAGCAGCATACTTAGCATGTTCCCCAGAATGATCTGCATTAGAGGAAACGTCCATTTAAGACTATCTTCATTAGATAATTAAAAAGATTACTAATATTCAACTAAAAGGCACTTATTAAATACACCCCTTTCAAAGTCCCTGGTCCCAGATTGCAAAGCACCTTTCAGTTTCAGGAAGACGGTAGGCTTATGTATTCTTCACTCACTGGGTGTTAAATCCAGGTTTTAAATATAATAAATAATTTGTCAGTATGTCCATTGCTGTGTCTTTCCGAGGCAAAGATCAAAGTTTAGGCTGTGGAAAGGTTTTTTTTTTTTTTTTTTTTTTTTTCTCTCCTCTCTCCTGCTTGTTTACAACTTCACTGGTGAAAGTGCTGAGAATGACACATCTCAGAGGAGCAGTGCCTTAAAGGCAAGGGAAACTATCTTCAGCCAGTGGTGGTAATATGCCGTTTTTCATCTGACAAATCCTTAGTCTGTTATATCTTGGTCACGTAGTTGTTGGGAAACAGACCTTGTTTCCCTCGTAGTCTTCCTGTCCACCAACCAGAAGGATCTGTTGTGAAGAATGAAAAGTTAGCACTGACGTTCTGTAATCCTTCCTCCTCCTGTCACAGCTGTTATTGTTTTCTTTCTTGTGAGATAGGCTTGCAAAACAGTTCCACACAAAGTGGAAGCCTTCTCATGAAGGACTGAAATGCATATTTGGGGAATCTGAGTCTGATAAGCTTTTCGCTCTAATGCTAATGCCTAATCTGGTTGCTTTGGAAACATGAGGGAGTTTGAAGGGCTTTATTTATTACTTGGTTCTTGTGCCACAGTTGTAGTTTGGACTTACTTTCATCCAGAGCCTGTAACAGAGTATTCTCTAACAAAGTTTAAAGTCAATGTGGTAGAGAAATAATTTGACAGATTTTTCTGGTATGCCTTTAAGTGCACCAGTTTGACTGTTGTAGGTTGACTGCTTCTCTGCTCTCTCTACTTTTTGAAGTATCACAGGAATTTTCAAGCCCAATGAAGGGAAGATGGCTGGGGTAGGTAGCTGAAAAAGCCATGTCCTAATTGATTATGACAGTGTACCTTCAAGATCAGTACCTGATTTGCAGAAGGTTTTGTTACCTGTTTACTTACCTTCTTTGATGATATCAATCACGTCATTGGCATTAAAGCTAAGTTCATCGGTGTCCTGAGCGTCGTACGCGTACAGCGCCCTGCACTGCGGGACCTGAGGCTTGGGTTTGGGCTGCGGTTTGGGTCTGCCCCCCGCTGGCGGGGGCCGGTTGGTCGTCTGCCTGCGAACGCTAAGGAGGGGAGTAAACGTTAACGTGCTTCAAAGGTATGACTTAGAATCCCTGTCCCAGTCCCTTGGTTCTAAAGAACATCCTAGAATAAGGAAAAAGGTACTTAAACAGCACAACAGGTCAAAATGTTAACACAAGGCTTGTTCCCTGCTTCTTCACTGCTAAAGTTCTAAACTGGATGGATAGGTGCTGCCAATGGCATTCTAGTATTTGGGCTTGAATGTAAACAAGTGTGCGCATGCAGTTTACATGCATCTCTGCTTAGTTTTTCCCCACCCTGCCCCAGCTTTCCCAGAGACTGAGTTTCCAGTATTAAAAAGACAGTTCTAGCTGCCAGGCTTGCTACTTTACCATTCTTGTGACTAAGCTGAGTGATACTGCATCTCTCTTAAGTTGCCTCAGTTTCCAGGGCCGTTTATGGACTTGAGTCACAGTCAGCTCTGAAGCAGCAGAGGGAATGCTGCCCAGGCTGTCACAGCTGTGATCACTCCAAAGTTTAGGAAGGGGAAAGAAGAAAGGAATGCATTTTGCCAGCTCATCAGCTAATGAGGGCTGGAAGAGAGAACAGGTATTAGATCCAGTATGGTGGATGGGCTTTAAAAAAAAAAAAAAAAAGTTCTGAATGGCTGCATGTTGGGAGTGATGCAGAAGAGGTAGAGGTATGATAATGCTATGCAATGCTGTGATTACTGAGCTCTTGGGGAAAAGGTGTGTGGCTACTGAAAAAATTACTAAGCTGAGGACTTACACTAGTTAATGGCTCTATCTCATCATAATTTTATGTTTCTGTAGTGAACTGCACCAGAAAGTGAGCCTAAAGTTGCTTTAAAATGAGTTAGCTTACCTAAAATATCCTACTCCTCTAAAATACCATGCCTAAAAGCGACCTCTGTGAGGGCTGTGCTTCTGAAATCCACAAGCTCCTCTGCTCCTTCCTTAGACACCGACAACCTTAGATCTGTGCCATGAAAAGGACCAAGCACAAATGAAATCCTCTGAAAGTGTTTGCTGAATAGAGTGACCTTGGTTCTTTTTAACAAACTATGAACCCAAGTCACAGAACTCGGAAAGAAAACCAGACCTGCAAGTGTCTGTCTTCTCTAGATACTGTTACTTCAGTAGAATTTCTGGGATGTTTGTTTTCATACTTAACTAGTTAGTGACTTATCAGAGAAATTTAATGATAACATAAATTGTTGGGGTAAGTGCAAGAGAAGGGCCTGCCAGCATCTCTTCCACATGCCCTTTCTGAATGTAAGTGTACTGGCCTCCTGGATTGTGTTGTTTGAGCTATGCTGGGGAGGTTTCAGTGTTGGTGCTTAACGGAACCGTATTCTGGACTGGATTTGGAACTGATCTAGTTAAAAATGACCTGCATGTTTAGCTAGGTTTATAGTTGTGTGTGCACAACTATAGCTTATAGTATGTGTGTGCAGCTTTCTCCTCGGAAATCCCTGCAAGCTCCATGGAGGGGCACGGGTACGAGTCTGCATCCAACTCTCAGGCTACTCCAGAAGACAAGGGAAACAAATAACCAGGGGAGCACAGCCAGGTCAGTCTTCCTGCCTTGGCATTGGTCTCACCTGCTGCCGGGGCATGGGGCTCCTGTCCCCGCTCCGAGGGGCTGCCTTCCCCAGGCACTGCAGCCCCTGTCCCCGCTCCGAGGGGCCGCTCGCCCGAGGCTCCGGGCTCTGGCGCAGCCCGCGGCCCCGCTCGGCTGCAGCAGGGGGCGCGCGAGCACCGCGGCGCGCGGAGGGGCCGCTCCGCAAGCCCCGCTCCCGTGAGCAGCCCCTGCGGAGGGCGGCTCCGCGGTGCTCCTGCCTTTGCGAACACTAAAAATGGGCCTGGAAGCAGCTCTGGACGCAAGAGTCCATGTAGTTGTTGGTGAAGTCTGTAATTTTCTTGTTCTAAAATCATTGCAACTAGCTGACAAATTGCTCTGTGACTAGTGTGCTCTGAATTGCTGTTATTGCTATTGCTAAAGCACTCTATACACCACAGCAAAATATATCTAGTCTTTTCCTAGGGCTTTCTGCTTTATTGTATGTGTTGATTCCTACTATCCAACACTACTTCAAGCCATAAAGATGTAAAAAGCAAATTACTGTTATCTGTTTCAGTGCCCCCTAAAAAGTCTCTTCACTGGGCTGCATTTCTCTAAGGATGGAGCATCATGCTTCCTGCTACATCAGAGCAAAATACTATACGCCCCACATTCTGTTTTATATAGAGAAAGTAAGTGGTGCATGCCACTCACTGTGCTTGAGAGGTTTACTGGAGTGTTCTTCACTAAAGAATAAAGTTTATTAAAGTAAACTTTACTAGGGTCTTTTCCAGCAGGCCCTGACTTTCCAATGTAACACCCGCTTGCTACTGCTAAAGGAGCTCCGGGACAGGTGAACTGCTGGAGCAGAGGCCAGGGTGGGTCTCCACCTGACCAAGGCTGTTGTGGAGGAAAGGCAAATACATTAAAGGGTTATGGAGAATAGTGGGTAAGGGGAGACTGGGCAAATGGTTGGCCTAATCTTGGCTTTGCCCATGTGCAAGCTCTTACACACTTTCCAAAATGCTTTAACCTGGGAGCTTGGATCACAACAGCTCCGAGTAAGGGAACTGTGACTATTTCACAACATGTTTACAGGGAGCAGCAACAACACCCCTTTAATAGGACATGTGAGTACTGCCTACTCCTGCGGTGGAAGCATGCTTGCTTTACCTTACTTTGACATACTTGAGCCCTTCCTTAGGCTAAATCCTCAAAACAGTAGTGTCTTTTTCCCCCCAGGCCTTTGCAGGCCCTTGAGAGGAGACAGCGCTCTGGCTGGTGTGCTGAGCCAAGGGCCGCCCCGCTGCAGGGGAAGGGAACACCCTTCGGCCAGCGGGAAGGGGAACGCGGCGACCGTCTGGAGGATGAAATGCTGAGGGGGCAGCTGGGTGAAATAAGGGTTGCTAAGGAGCTGTGAAAGGAGAGCTCTGGCTAGAAGAAAGTCTCGATTTCTTCTTGTTCCTCGCCTATCATTTTGCTAGAGCTGTAGGAAAGGCGCTCATCTGAACAGTGGGCTGCTTTCTCAACAAGGCTGAGGAGCAGCCTCCCTGGCCCCAGCACAGCGGGCTGCTGAGGTGGATGAACCCCATGTGTTTGCTTGAATAGCTGTGGTCTGCAGAAAGGTGTCTGCTCTAACCATTGCCCTGGAAAATACTTCAGCCTTGTGGACCTTATTTCTATCTGTTGATGTCGTCTTTCTTGTTGATTTAACATGTCTGGGACATCCGACTGTTACTAGCAGTGTGTGGTGGGTTTTGTTGTTGTTGTTGTTATTGTAAAGAAATACAGTTACCTCAGGATTCAACCACACAAATAGGAAGTGATCAGCAAAAAAGAAACATAAACTGCTTACTCAAGAATAGCTTTTCTTTGCTAGAATTGCTGAACAGGCAGCAGTCTTTGACAGATTCCCACCACAGCAAAACCCCACTAATCAACAAGAAAATAGAATATAAAGGGCTAAATTAGAAATTGTTAACTAAGGAAAACTTTTTACATTTTGTGAGGCCTTCAGCATTCCAAAGTTCCCTATGACTTTAATCCAAATCCAGTGTTTTGGTAGTTACGGACGGGTGACAGCATGGGAAAACCTACAGAGCTTTTGCCTACACTGCATTTTCAATCAAGATATGGAGCAGCTGCTTTGAGAGTTGAGAATGAAGTTGTGTTTTACTCCCTGCCATGCCCTGACCACAGTGGCTCCTTTCTGCCACTTCTGGGGAGTGGGCTGATGCCTTTTGCAACTTAGCATTCCAAAGTTCCCTATGACTTTAATCCAAATCCAGTGTTTTGGTAGTTACGGACGGGTGACAGCATGGGAAAACCTACAGAGCTTTTGCCTACACTGCATTTTCAATCAAGATATGGAGCAGCTGCTTTCAGAGTTGAGAATGAAGTTGTGTTTTACTCCCTGCCATGCCCTGACCACAGTGGCTCCTTTCTGCCACTTCTGGTGAGTGTGTTGATGCCTCTGACAACTTTGCTTTGGAGAAATTCCTGGCCACAGCACTAAAGTTGCTCTCACACTAAATGACTGAAATCTTGCATTTCACACAGTTATCTTCCTGTCAAGTGTGTTAATTCAATACTTTCATCTTCCTGACACTGAACTTGACACTGAGCTATACCCAAGCAGTGTATGAGGCAGACTACAACAAAAGGACCATGAGCAAGAGCTTCTGGGCTGACAAGGGCCATGGTGCACATGGCAGCTACTTTTACTGAGCTCTAATGCACAAGGGGTATAAGGCGTGTGCCAAATGTTTTGTGTGCTTTATGTAGAAGGTACCATGCAAGTTTAAGTTACTAATACTGGAACTGGTTCACCTTCATGCCTAAAGGCCTATGAACTGGGATGAGTATGGGAAGATGAGGGGACCTCTGGATGCAATTCAGTAGCATGATCTGGTCATCCATGTACACAATATAACTTTATCAGCCATGAATGGTTTGAATGCGTGAAGCAATTTACAGAAACTGACCTTTTTTTTGTGAGCTCACGTAAAAACTTACCCAGCTGCTCCTTGGTCAGGTACTTTCAGGAAATCCAAGCTATCCGGTTGCTCTGAAATCCTGCCCGATCCTCCTGATAGCTGCCGTGGTAACGAGGGCCGAGTCATGCTCGTATACAGGTTCTTCTGATTGGCCCGTTGATTCACTGGGGCTTGGGGATGTAGTGCGGAGTGTGGGGCAGTTATTACTCCATTTTGATGATGACCTAGAAGTAAACAAAGTGTGAACATGCCCAGCCAAACTGCAGCTTAGAAAAGATGGCCTTCTCAGCTTTCAGATGGCCTCAGCTATCAGAGACCTTCTTAAAAATAAAGACGTGTCACCTATGCATAAGTTCAGGTTGACGGATGGGCTGATGATTTAATCGGTTCTTGCTCAGGCCTGGGCCATGTGGCTGGAACCTTACAGGTATGTGGGGGGGACTGGCAGAGCTCAGCTGAACTCAACCTCATTAATGTTACCTAATGTGTAACTACCGTACCTTTATTTAAAAGCAATGCAATTTTTTTTTTTTTTTATCCAGATGGTCTTAATCTAAAGCTGTGCAGAGGTACTGGGCTCTGGATATTTATTTAAAGGGGAATAAGTTCCTAAAATTCTCAACTCTCTGAACGCTTGGTGACTTTTTTTTAAGTTGATGCAAATATTTGCTTATTAAAAAAAATGCTTGTTAAGAGGCTTGTTCTTACTTCATTAGCTCAAATTGACTTTGAATTTCCCAGATGAGTAAAAACGTAAATGTTCTTTAAAAAAAATTGCCTCTAAAAGCGAATTTTAAACAAATCCCCTCGTGTTTTTAGCTACTTGCAGGATCAGGGCTTAAGGAGTTCCATTCTGCATTCTTTGCATTCCTAAAACTCCCACTGAATTAAATGGGAGCTATGCTTATATTAAAAATTAGATTGGTTGCTCCTGTGTGGTGACCTCTTCTTTTTCTGCTTGATTCTGCCATCTGAAAATCAGCAGAATAAACAGGAGAGGAGAATTCCAAATGATGACACTAGAGGAAAGCCGGCTGTAGTCAGCTGCCACTCTTTGCTTCTGAAGCTATGGCAGCCCTTAAATAGCCATAAATTCATACATAAAACTCACTTTGTGGGCCAAATACATTATTAAGCTAGCAACACCTGTACATTGTGGTTCTATAAATAAAGATTTATTTAATTCTGATCATTTTATATATATATATATATAATTATACATATATATGTGTGTGTGTGTATGTAACCAGCCTGTTCAGCTACTGCACCACTGTAGCTGCAAAGAAGATATGAAAAATAGCAGAATACATTTCATATGATGAAGGATGATGGATCACAGTGTCTTTCCACAGTGTGGAGGAAGGATGAGGAAAATTGTTCATGACTTGCAAGGAGATAGATGCGCAAATCCCCCAATTGCCTCAGGCTTCCCAGCAGTCCTGGCTTTGGAACTGTCTTACACCAGTTGTCTTTTATCTCTGCTTCCAGTCTATTTTACAAAAAGGGGTATTTTTCTTTTTTAAAGTAATATATGATAAGGTAATTGAGTTGAAGTCTGGATAGAAGATTTCTGCTCATGCCTGAAATGGGCAGAAGGGTCAACATGGCATTTAACTTTAGTAGTTGCACTTGTCCTGATGGGAGGCCACAGAGGTACCCATGGTCATGACCATCTGCAGCGTAACGTGAGCGGAAGGTGAGGCCAGCACCTGGCTGCACAGAGACACAGGGCTCCTGAAAGCACCATCTCCTGAGTCACCTGTTCAGCAGCTGCTACACGGCTGGTCACAGGCCACACTACAGGTATGGGCATCCACCAGAGATGGAGCCCTAAGTACAAATCTACATTCCAACCATTTTAACATGAGAAACATTTGGACTTGGTTTGCTATCATGAGGCTTTCTCAACCTAACCAATTATATTTGCTTTTTCATGCAGCTGTAAAACTACTGAAAGAATCTTTGAAAATTCTGTTAAAACAGATGCCTCGTTCTAATTCACTACCTAGGTGTAACTACCTAGTATAAACCCAGTAGTGTTCTCTATTAGCAGTCAGAAGCAGTGGTCTGCAGCCTGGTTAACAGCTACAGTAATTTAAATATCTTGCTGCTTTACTACAAGCAGCTCTTGCAGGCCATACATACCTTAGCTTGACTCATACTGCTATGAGGCCTTACTCACATCGAGAGGTACCTGTTTAATTTGGTGACCAAGGTGGGTTGTACAGCTGAGTTACACTGTGCTCCTCTGAACAGCAGCTGACTGAAAGAGAACTCTTTGTAAAAAACACTCTGGGGACTGTAAGAAAAAAACCCACTTGGGAAATGGTGGTCAATGGTGCATTGTTCTCTCCTCTGAGTTCACAGGCTAAATTAATCATATCTTTCAAGGGCAGAAGTGAAACACCCTAATGACCTCAAGCTCATGAAATAAACTGCTACTTACTGGTATGGCTGATATGCTTCAGCATTTAGCCTATACAAAAGTCATTGCATAACAGGACAGGACAACCAAAACTGTGTTTCATATTGCTTTGCATATTAGTTATGGAACTGAAAGCAATTTCATTGTTAACGATCGTCTACATTTGTGTATATTTTGCTCTAAAAGGGCAAATGAACAAGACTATGGGATTACTTTTCTACTTAGTGTTTTAGTAAGCGGCTGAACATGGCAGCACCCATGACAATATCGGCACGTTGGTAGGATACCAGTCTGTCACCAACCTTCAACAGCATAGTTGATTAAATCCCTTTTCAAATCTATACGTTCCAGTTAGGATCATTCAAAGAGTATTTGGAAACTTTAACTATGAATTTTTTTACTGTGAATAAACAGGTTAGTAAAGAGCAAGACAATGTGGCAGTTGGTTGTTGCCCAAGGCTGGGACTCACCAGGCGGCGGCGGCGCGGCTCGCATAGGGAACGTCCCGCCTTGCGACCTGCCCGAATGCCCTCTGCTTTGTGTAAGGTTCCGTCTAGTGGGGCCTGCAAGAAACCAGCACTGTCTCATCATCCTGTCTGGATTAAACTCATTAGGAAAGCTTTCTGGCTACCAGACCTCTCCTCTGTCATCAAACAGGACTGATCTTTAGGAAGAAAGAATCTGTCCCTGAGGGTGTTTGTTGGCCAGGTTACGTTCAGGCTTTCAGCACAATAAGGGTGACTCGGGCACATTATCCCTCTGTGATCCAGTTCAGATGAGTTTCATTTAGGCTGCCTGAAGGCTGCTGTAAATGGGACCCAAAATACCTTTCCCTATATCACAACTTGTCTCCCATCCTGATGCAGACCCTTCTGCATCAGCAAGGCAGCAGGAACTGCAGGGCCTTAGAGTCTTCTCTAAACTGCGGTGCTGAAGTGCTCTGCGTACTGTACCTGGGATTAAACAGCACATGCCCTTTGCCAAAGAATTTGATGCCTCAGAAAAAGTCACTATAGACTGGTGAAGGAAGCAAATTCCAGAAAGACTGCAGAGCAGCAGGGAAAGCTGTTGTATCATTATGATTTATAACTTGATCTTTTCAGTGTTAAATAGAAAACATTAAAGAACAGGCTTGAATCTAAATGTAACAAAGGAGAGGAAGTGTCAACCATTCCCTAAATTTCCAAACCATTCACTAATTTTGAAAGGTAGTTCATACTTACGGGAATTCTTTGGTAGCCCTGGGCCAATGCTGATCTGCAGCACCTTGTTGCTGGGCTTGAGAATGGCTATATCGCCATGGCCTTGCATAAATTGTACTTGACGAGACCCACCAGAGCTCCAGGGCCCCCAGTTCTCCTTTTTCAGCTTCACTTCAAGTCTAATATAAGCACGTGAACATAAGTAAAGAATTCAGAATACATTTACATATGAAATCAGGCCACTAGCACTTAGCAGCAGATAACATCATTATAAAAAGGCTTATGAAGATAGCTACGACTGAGACCCTGCATGCCTGAGTATGTGTGCTAACATAAAACGCCTAACTACATCGGCTTTATGCTTTTTTTTATTAGTATTATTGTTCTGCATTGCTGATGCCTTTAGCCAGCCTAGCAGAGCTACCCCAAGGAAGCCGGAGCGCAGCCAGCGGCGCATCCCGGGGATGGGGGCTGCCCGCGGCCCCAGCCAGCTGCCTCGGGTCTCACCCCGAGCCGGCGGCTGCACCGCGATTAGCTGCCCTAACGCGCTCCAGGAGTGCGGCTGATGTGTGTTCCAGGAGCGTGCACATTCTTGCACCTAGACTTGACTTGTCCTAATTTAATGGAGGTTTCTTTTCTTTTTTTTTTTTTTAATTCCACATGTGTATGCTGTTTCTAAGTCCACCCTATCTAGCTGCACGACATAAACACTAACAAAACCAGGATTTGGCTTGGGGAAGACCCTAGAAATGTAATACATTACATTTTGCATGAATAAAAGCAGTTACTGTGGGTACTGGCTTTGTGTTCCCAGGCTGTAAGAGTTCCCAGGCTGTGTGAAATTACAGCAACAGTTCACACTTCACCATGTCCTCCTGTGCCATCAGAAAACTAATCATTTTGCATTATAATTTATAATTCTTACAGTTCTTTGAGGGAAATAAAATAATTATGCAAATCTCAGGCTTGTTGTTGCTGATCTACGTCAAGGGTAGGAATATAAACAAAAACACGTATTTGTTGGGCTACTTTCCTGTATGTCCTTACAGCTAAGATAAATGGACATCATCCACTCTGTAGCTTTGCAGGCTTCTTTTTGAAAACTGTGCACAGAAACAATGAGGCTACTTCAGGCCCCCTCTCATCCCGCAGTCCTCTGCCCTCCCCTCTTTTCCTGCCCCAGTTAAAAAAAAAAAAAGATTATTCTTAGAAGCCCCTGGTAAAAATACAACTCACGTATTGCTAAATTTCAGAGGTAGTTTTCTTTGCGTTTTCTCTTCATATCGTTTTGATAAAAGGCTTAAAAATTCAGTTTTGAAGACTGATTCAAGCAAACTATCATATTCCTGTTCATGTAGAATGAAAATGTCATCCTGCATTGGACTGAAAAGAAAAAGCAGATTCATTCAGATTAAAATTGCAACAGCACATACACCCAGCATTATAATGAGCTTCCCAAAGTATTCACAGCTAATTTTAAAAAAGTTTTAAAAAAAAAAAAAAAAACTACAGTGCCTTGCTTTCAGAAGTGGTTAATGGGATACCCAAAATAATCTTTTCTGAGAGATACAAATGCTAATTTATTATTTTAAAGTAATTAATTTTATCATAAATTGAGGACCTGTGCTACAGTTTAAAGTCCACATCTTCAATAATGGCAAAAGAAGTGACTAGAGATGATATAGACCCTTGAAAGACACTAGTCTAACAATAAGAGTGCAGCCCAAAGCAGTGTCACTGTGAAGGAGAGCTCGGCGCTCTCCTCGCCGGCGCGGCGCTGGTTTGGCGCACGATGGCTGTTGGTGCAGCGCCAGCCTGGGAGCAGCCCTGCACCTCCCGGGGACACGGCCCGCGCCGCGTGCGGACATGTGCAGGCGTCTCGCGCACGCAGACGTCTCACGCAGAGGGACCTGCGCCCTCCCCGCGACGCCCCAGTGTGAGCAGCCCCCAGGCGGCCCCGCAGCCCGCCTAGCGCATCGCCTTGCGTGAGCTGCAACCGTCTGCAGCAAGGCACCCCCCAAGCCTGCTAAATAAGTCTCTAACACCTGAAAAACGGAATTCTCTCTTTGTTAGTACCAGCTTGCAGAAACAGGGAGGACAGCAGTGCTGGCAGGAGCGAAACGCCAGGGCAAGGGACTGCCCCATGGGCAGCCCCACCAGTGTGGCATGAAACCTCCAACATCATGTGCAATGCATTGATCAGAGCTGTTGTGCTATCAGAAGGGGCTGCCTTCCCATCTTTACTCCTCTCTCCCCCCTTTTTTTTTTTTCCCATGTGCATGTCTGTCCCTAATGCTAGAACATCCTTCCCACCCCCTTTTCCTGCCAGATTCATTTTCAGTTTCTCTTGCTCTTCAGTTTCCATGACCAGGTCACAAGGCAGCCCCTCAAACACTAGTGCTAGGGCTAGGAAACATGTTTGGCTGCAAGAAGGGGCACTGCAAGACTTTTGACAACCATGTTGACCCAAGACATGCTTAAATGTAGGGCAAAACACTTCCCTGGCATGATACTTTCCCCAAACAGCACACACACAGTTAGACACAGTGCTGACAATGGTCAACTCAGTTCAGTGTGCATTAACACTGAGATTAGACCTCTATCTTGGGCTATTGTTAATGAAGACAGAAGCGCAGCTCCTGTTAGATATTCCCAGCAGGGCATGTGTGGCTCCTTTTCAAGCTGCTTTACAGAACTGCAAGGAGACCAAAGTTTCTCTGCTATTTTGTTGGTGTTGTTGGGCAAATTATTATTTGTTCTGATAGTGGACTAATTCTACCCTACGCCTGTGCAGACAGAACCATCTCTGAGACAGTTACAAGGTAGGTATGTATACTTTTAAGAGAAAAAAGCTGAAAGCAAAAGAAAGACGTAGATTTGGCCGCCAGTCTAACTGTCTGAGGAAGGGGTTGGTGCCAGAATGACTTGTAGCAACTTCCTCCACAGCTTCTCAGCCTCAAAAAGAATCCCAGAATTGTTTCACTCAAGAGCTACTTAAAGGACATTAATATAGTGAAGTTCCTCTCGTCAGCAAGCAGCTCCCCAGCATAGCACACGCTCAGGGTTATGAGACAGCACAGGTGAAGAACTTGCAGATTTGTCCATTATAGCTGGACTCACACTTGGACTGTTACCAACACCCATGGGCCGCAGAAGTTGAAACTTGTACACTATTTTTAAATGAAATGTGCTAGTATGTTGTTTTCTTATCTATTTGCTTCCATCTCCTCTTCTGCTGCCATTACTAACATCAGAAAATATTATTCTACCCCTGCAATTTCTTTCCACACATTAGATATCACCTAAGCAAAAGAGGAAATCTCATTTTGCATTTCTCCTTGGAGAAAGGAACCTTACAGATCCTGTTGCATTTAGAATGAAGATTTAATAAGTGATGTCAGAATTTTCTGCAAACAGCTCCATACTAAAACCTGCCGCTAACACGTCACTCAGTGTGTCAACATCTGCATCGTGCAGAGGTCGAGGCTGTCAAAAACTGGCCTTTCTGCAGCCTGGGGAAGGGAGCGCCAAATAACTCCCACTGAGAAACAATTTATTCAAATGGTGTGCAATAAAGCAGCCATTGATCTCTAATACAAATCGATACAGACACTATTTCAACATTTCACAGCGACTGCACAGTGAGTAATTATAGCACAGAGGGAACTGTAAGGAGTTTCAGCTGGGAAAGGAGCTGCCTCCCTCACATTAAGCCCTCTCCCCGCACGCTGCTTTCCCATCACCTGGGAATGGCAGCTCCCCCTTGGCGCCTCTCCCGCAGGTGTGTCCCATCACATCTCCTTAAATAGCAGGGGACAGGAGAGCCTTTCCTGCTGCCTCTGCTCAGCTGGCTGTGGGGGACAGGGGTTCTCTCTAGAGCTGTGAGTATCTCTTCCTTTATTTTGTGCAAGCTTAAGAACAACTTTGTTTATCTGCTAGAGATGCTTTTGATATCGGATACAAGATTACAAGTCTATAATGTATTAGGTAAAGCATGAATTTTACCGCTACCTATTCTTTTAAAAGTTTAACCTTCACACTTTGTAACTCCTTTCAGCATGCTACTTATTGTTTAAGTAGCAATTAAGAAACCAATTTTCCTTTTTCTCCCTTCCATTTAAAAAAAAATACAATCATTTGCTTAAAATATAATATTACTTGGAAAACAGTACAAACAAAAATGTGAAACTTCAATTTGTTATGAGATATCAAGGCTGCAATATAGACAGTAGCTAAAACCCATTCCAGGTAAGTTCACGAAGAACATGATTTCAATGACTTCCCTCTTAAAATTTTTGAGATTCCTTTCCAAACCAATCAGAAATCAATTATTTTAGAGGTATAAAGACTTTTTTGGAGAATAGGCCATAGTCTTGAAAATGATTGCAAAAAAAAGCAATTTAGAGAAGAGTTAATTCATTTTTTGATTTGAGCCTCACATGTCTGAAAAATTGCCTTCTCAAAAAACACATGGTTGGTAGTGTATACACCACTAAAGGTTTGATTCTGTTCTACTACTTTAAAAGACTCTAATGTTACAAACCCTAGCACTCATCGCTGTGTGTTCGGGGGTTTTTTTGGGTAGCTTCTACAGGCAGTGCTGTATTATTACTATGTTATGTCAACACAAATTTAAGATATATCTTGACTAAGTCCTATTTTGAACTTGGCCCGTATTAACCTGAAAACACTGAAAAGGCCTCTTGTGCCCCTTGGCTTTGTTTTTTTGGGGTCCTTTTTTTGAGTTTTCTAGAGAATCTGACAAGATACAGTCCTGAATCTGCTTCTGCTTTCAGCACATACAGCAGCCAATGATTTCTACAACACAATAATATAAACAAAGTAGGCTTAAAGCATTTTTAAGTCATAATACAATATACATCTCTTTTCAAAGCGCAGCACACTTGCTTTTACTTCAGGAAGTCTTGCTGAACCATTATTTACACAGAGAGGAGTGTAACAGCTTTCAGTAACTTGGCAGACGGCCGTCTCTCTGGCTGACTCAGTGTGAGGATGCTGTGGAACGCTCCAGACCCAGTGCGAGCGTCTGCCTGCAATCTGTTCAAGAGCTGTGCAGCACAGTCCAGTCTTGCAGCAATAAAATGGCAGGTTTCACTCCTTTTCAACCTAGGTCTCCTGCAGTTGCTTGTTCTTGCAACTTTTCTAATAAAGGTGTGCAGTAAATAAAGCACTGGGTTTGAAGAAGCCATTGTGTTTGCCAACACGCTTCAGACTTCTCCCTCATCATGAAATGGTTATG